GAATGAAAATCATAACTCCCAATTAGTTAATTAGCTCATAGGTTTACTAAATAAACAAGTGAATGTTAATTTTAAGTAAAAACTGTCATTCACGAGTCTTTTTGGTGGTACATGTTAATCAAGAGTTGAAAATTTTTTGTGATAGATTTCAAATATCAGCAGCATTTTTCTACATTTCTCATGCTACTGAATTTTTTTTGTTGTAATTTACATTATGAGATGGGAGGTAGTATGATATAGCATTTAAGAATTTAGACTTTTGGGGTGCCGGGGTGGCTCAGTTCGTTAAGCGCCTGACTTGGGCTCAGGAGATGATCTTGTGTGCGTGGGTTTGAGCCCTGCATCTGGCTCTGTGCTGACAGCTCACAGCCTGTAGCCTGGTTCAAATTCTGTGTCTCCCTCTCTCTCTGTCCCTCCCTTGATCCCACTCTGTCTCTCTCTTTCTCTCAAAAAATAAACATTAAAAAATTGAAAAGAATTTAGGCTTTTTAGTTAAACTGTATAAATTTAAATGTTAAATGTGTCATTTTTAAGTTTTGGTGGCCTTTAGCAGGTTGTGTAAGTTTTCTGAACTTCAATTTTCTCCCATGTAAAGTGGGGATAATAATGGTACTGGGTCAGAGGTTGGTATGAGGTTTTAATGATATAGAACACGTAATGTGCTGGCCATAGAAGAAGCCTTCAACAAATATGAAGTATTAATATTCAGGAAACTACATGTCACCTTCTTTAATTGTGAAATAACAAGCCCTTTGAAGCCTTAAAATGGCAGATGTCTGCTATTTTAGGTAATATCTATGTAAAGTGAAGGGAGGATTTAATCAGTTATTTCATGAATAGAGAAAAGAACCACTATGTAATCAAGGTTTATGAACAAATTATAAGGACTGACTTTATAGTAGTGACCTACTGAATAATTACTCATGTTTTTTAACTTTAAGAAGTCCGTCTCATTAAAGTCCCTTTTAAAAGCATTTAATTATGCCATAGATCTAGTTATCTTGTATGCCAAATTGTCTTAGCTCCTAGCTACCTCATCCTTTTTCTTCCAACTTATATATTTTTATATCTCCCTCACATAAGGGATTTTGCAATTAGAACAAATAATGTGTACAATTAGCAGTTTAATTTAGATTGAAATAATGTTTTCATCTCATGTCTGGTGAAAGACAATTTTTTTTTTCTAAAACACCTTAATTCTCTCATCAGTACTGTCAAAGTAAGTATTTGTTAAAGGCAGAAATATTAATGGGAATGTGGGTCCATTTTTTTCTTCCCATAGAAGAGCAAAAGGACCCAAACACAAAGCACTTTTTTGGCATTTGCAGTTACAGATCTCACAGAAAATAACTGGGTAATTGTTTTGTCAGTTTAGAGATCACACGCAGAATTATAGCGTTTGCTTCATTTCACTTCTGTCTTGGATTGATAGGACAAGCTATTTGGGGGAAGATTCTGGTTTCAAAATACGCTGTGGAATTTTTCCATCAAATCAATATCTCTAAAAATTTGTGCATGATGAATGAAATTTTGTGCCTTTAATGATGACCTCCACCGTTCTCAACTGTTTCTCACTGGGGAGTACAGAGTAGTTATCATAAAATGAACTTACATCAGGCTTTCTATTGTCTTCTTCAAGTTGTGAACTGATTTCATATATTTGGATTTCACTGCCTGACCTGAAATTGGTTCATTGATTGTGATATGTCTCTCTGTGCTTCTTCTCATAATTGTTTTCCAGAGAATGTGACTTACACGTTAAATGCTAAGTACTTTGTGTAGGATCGGGGGACATCGATAATGAACCCAAGAAGAAAATGCATGATATATAATGAAATATTGATAGTCTTCAACACATATAACACTGTGACTAGCAGTTTTCATAGAAACCCTTACAATTAAAAATGAACTTATAGTCACAGACACTTATAATTCTATTACTCAAAAATCTTTTTCTCAACTATGAAAAACATTAATACGTTAGTACTGGTGACAGCATCACAAACATCCTGTTGGAAAACCAGCTTTACCTGATTCTTTCTCTGCAACTCTTCTGCTACTCCTAAATTTAGACTAGATCTCACAAACTTAAATGCCTGAGGGAATTGTACTGTTAACATCTCTTCCATAAGAGTATCAGGCAATAAATGCATTTATGAACCCTATGCATAGCATCTGCCTAATTTCACTGCTATTTATACCAGCCCAAACAAGTCCCACATTGGTTTAGATTAATTGTCACAAGTTGGTTTAGACCATACCTTACCATATACTGTTTCTGCCTTCCATCTCTAATAACTCAAGTACACTCTGCATACTATGTACTGGTCTCCTGTATAACAAGACTGATGACATCGTTTTCCTGTTTACAATATGCTTTACTTTCCCTATGTTACTTGATGCACACACTTCACTTTCTAATCCCATCTTCTACCCCTCACCTCATTGCCGCGCGACCCGTGCTCTGGCCCCATTGAGTATCTGTCATATTGAGACTCTTGAGTCCCTCAAGATTTTTCGTGACTAACATTTGTCCTTTAATATCCTTCACTCCTAGAAATGTACATTGTCTGTGAATCTTTCCTTGGAAATCAGCAATTTTTCATCCAGGACCCAGGGAATAGGTTCTACCCATTTCCATACCACTTCTCCCGTTGTATTGCAATTTTCAGGGTATGTGTATGTTTCCACTATCTGCCTTGCAGGGCAAGGAAAAATTCTTGTTTATGTTTACAAGAAAACCTAACAACACCTAAACAATTTTTAATTAATTAAAAATTAATATGTGCGTGTGTGTGTGTGTGTGTGTGTGTGTAATAAACATACAAGGTAACAGTATGGTAAATTAAAATTATATGTGCACAGCAAAGCACAATAAATGTTTCTTTTAATTTTTCATGTAGTGAAGATTTCTTTCAGCAAAAGTGAAAATATAGATAAAAACAACAAATGCAATGAGAATTTTCAAAGGCAATGTGTCCTTTATTTTCATATTAACGGAGGTCAGTCTGTACACAAATCCATATATCTACCATTGTTTCTTAGCCTTGACCTAAGTGCCTTCCATATCTGCAGTTCTTTTATAATTTTCTACTTTTCTGTAGAGTTTTCACCTACTTTTCATTGAAGTAGCAGAAAGAACTGTCCTTGGAATTTAAATGTTTTAAAAAGTAAATGTTTAGCTTTATGCTTATGAGGTAACAGACTTTTTTTTATGATTTCCTGCACCTGAGTCTCAATTAGACCTCAAAAGACAAATTGGAAAAAGCACAATAAACTGCCATTTGGTGCATGTGTGTGTGTGTGTGTGTGTGTGTGTGTGTGTGTGTGAAGAGTATGGGGTAAAGCTAGTGATTTAAAATTCTAAAACACATATTATTACTATTCCTCCATAAAATCTCTGTTTTTCATTACTGGACTTAGAATATTGCTATTACCTGTCTTTGTGATGATTCTGCTGTAATATCGCTAAGATCTCTTCATTAAGCTTTCATTAAAATTGATTTAAAGACGGATGGAAGAGCATAGTCATTGCTTATTTTTTTCAATAAAGGCAATGATGTATATCTAGGGTGTAGCATAAAGCTTCTTCTTTTTTTTAATTTTTTAATTTCTTTAAAAATACTATCCATATTTTTATTAAATCACACTTTTAAAATAAGAAATGTTTTTTTTTTAATTTTTGTTAATGCTTATTTATTTTTGAGAGAGAGGGAGAGAGAGACAGAGATTGGGGAGGGGCAGAGAGAAGAGGGAAACACAGAATCTAAAGCAGGCTTCAGGCTCCAAGCTGTCAGCACAGAGCCTGATGCAGGGATCAAACCCACGAATCATGAGATCATGACCTGAGCTGAAGTCGGACACTTAACCGACTGAGCCACCCAGTTGCCCCTAAATGCTTACATTTCTTATTGCTTACTTTAATAGTTTTCTGTCTTTTTCCATTTCTACAAAGTTCTAAAACTATTGTCTTTGATTTCTGAGTTCATCAGAGAGTTCAGGTAATGAATTAAAGCTCTAGTGTCAGAAATGGTTTGAATAACATCTCTGCCAATTATCTCTATCTTGATTAAGATATTTAACCTTTCCAAGCTGTACAAAAAAAATGGGAATAATACTGAAACCATGTCACAGAGTCTGGAAGATTAAATAAGCTAATGTATGTAAAACAGATTGTAAAGTATCTAGCCAATAATAAGCATTTAATAAATGTCAGTTGTTGAGATAATATGATGTTGATGATGATGATGCTATTTTATCAGTGTCTATTACACTGCAATGCTATTGCAATCCAGCTTCCCCCTATGTCACTTCACACTAAAAAAATTGCTGCCTATAATGATAACTGTTTGTTACATCATTCAAAATGATCTACAGTGCACCAGGCCCTGTTCTATTGGATGGAGATACAGCAGTGTATGAACAGATGAAAGTCCCAGTCTTTTAAAAAAGTTTTTTGATGTTTTATTTATTTTTGAGAGACAGAGAAAGACTTAGCCTGAGTGCGGGAGAAGCAGAGAGAAAGGGAGACACAGAATCCAAAGCAGACTTTCTAGGTGCTGAGCTGTCAGCACAGAGCCCAATGCAGGCCTCAAACTCATGAACTGTGAGATCATGCCCTGAGCTGAAGCCAGATGCTTAACTGACTGAGCCACCCAGGCCATCCAGTCCCAGTCTTTTTAAAGGTCGAGAGGCGATAGACAATACACAAAGAAAAAGTGAATTATGTTGTATTTTAGGTAATGCTACATGTCATAGAGAGAAATAAAGCCAGAGTGAAGTATAGATAACTGGGAAGCAATGGTGAAGTTTTAAATAGGGCAGTCACAGGGCTCCTACTAAGAAAGTGATATTTGAACAAAGACAAAATGAGGTGAAGAAAAAACCAAAACACTTGGGTAAATTTCCTAAGAAAGAACATTTCAGGTACAGGGCAAATGCTTACTAAGTGCAAGATCAGAATAAGGTCAGAGGATTAAAGGGATCCAGTATGACTAGAGATCAGTTCCACTATGATATAGGCCATTACCATATGTTGCTTTTCTTCAGGTTAGTAGAGATTTTGAGCCCTAGTAATGACACCCTTTTCAATTTAAGATTGGTTTATGTGTTTGTTCACAGTAACAGTGAGACACTGAGCACCAAAAGGCCCCAAGTGGATCATTTGATCTCCACACACATTCTTCTCTGTCTTCACCATGTAAAAGCAGCTCCACCTCCTGCTGATTGGAGTCAGTATCCCAAAGATGATGGCCAACTCCTCTCTTTGCCGTTGATTCCTTGCGAGAGGAAGCCTAAAGCTCTGACAGCAGCTGCAACTTATAATTCAATAGGCCCCTTGTGGTATCTCCTGATGAGCCTGTGCCTCCTCTGGGCTCTGAGGCTTCAAGCACTGACAAGCTCAGAGGGATGGGGCCAGGAAGCACAAAATTCTCCAGAGTGTCTTTGGAAGGAATGATAAGTGGGATAACTCCTGCTTCCTGGAAGGACCTATATGTAGCTTTCCTATTACAGCCCTATACCGTGGTCCATGATTTAATGACTACATTACCTTGAAGGATAATGCATTGTCTTTTCATAGCGCTTTCACTTATAACAACAGTTACAACAGTCAGAAGATTGTTGTAGCATTGCATGAGATTAGCTGCTTCTGGATGGTGAGGTTTCAGATTTGACCTGTGGATTCTATGGTCATGGGCTCACTCTCACAACTTTAATGTGAAGTGAGTGCCCTGACCAGAAACTATGTCATGTGGGATTCCACACTTAAGAACTAGATATTCTATAAGCCTCTTGGTGGTGGTATTGGCTGAGTCTCTGCAGGAAGGGAAAGCAAACCTAACCCACAGTAAGTATCTCCTTCTGAGGGGACAAATAGCTGGCCCTTCTAGGATGGAAGGAGGCTAATATAGCCAATTTGGCATTCACTGGCTGCTTAGCCTTGTTAGAGAATAATGCCATTTTGAGAGGTCAGTGTTGATGTCTGTTGTTGACAAGTGAGACACTCAGAAGTATTAGTAGGTAAATTTACTTTGAGAGGTGGAGTCCATCATTTTGGTATCCATATGTACCTTTCATGTCTGTCACTGGGGCTACTCTAGAGCAGCTTGGGCTTGATCCCAGCTGTGTTATTTTCATTGTTTTGATGGGCTGCTGTTAGGCGTGTTTAACTTTATGACTTGGCAGTTCTGAAAGAAGCCAACTCATCGTGAGTAGCTCTGGATGAATATTCACTGAAAGTCCCCTTGGTCAAACATTTCTTTTCTATCAGGTCCTCAGACTTATTTTTCAAAGGCATACGATTATCCACACGGTGTTGCTTCAGAGTCCCTGTGGTTTACATCTGATTCTCCATGAGAGCTTGCTATAAGCTCCACAGTTAATCCTTTCCCATCATGGACGTCTCCAACCCCATAACATCTGCCGGATCACATAATGTAAGCAGGAGAGCAGACTGTACCAACTCTGGACCTACTACAGCATCCTTTTGTGCTCCAGGCCCTACTCAGTGTAGCCTACAGTTACATGTTTCATTTATTCTGTAGAGAATTCAAAATGCAGCAATTTGTATTTGAATTTGTGGGAAAACACAACATTCTTCTGACCACAGGATTCCTGAAAATTTTACTGGAGTTTCCTGTCTCTAAAACTTTCTAGCATTTATTTCTCATTACTATGGAACACATGTGTCTTACCACAGCCTCTAAACTACTAACTGCCTTCTGCTCATCCTGTTCAATCAACATGATGTTCATCAATGTAATGGATCAGTGAGATGTTCTGTGGAATGTCTAGGTGATACAGGTCTCTTCAGACTATGTTATGACACTGGATAACACAATTAACACAGCCCTGAGGCAAATATGCAAGTGAAAATTGTCTATTCCATATGAATGGCAGTGATTTCTTATCTTCTTTTCTAATTAGAATGGTAAAAACACATTCACCAAATTAACAACCACCAGTCATATACTTGTGGTTTTGATCATCTATTCCAGCAATGAAACCATGAGCAGAACAGTCCCTGTTATCAGTACTGCTTTATTAAATCGGAAATAGTCTACAGCCATTCTCAGTATCCATTTCTTCAGGGGCTAGTCTGTGAATTAAGTTAAGGTATAATATGCAGTACTGCCCTTCATCTTTAGTCTTTAATGATAGCACTTATCTCTGCTATAACTGCTGGGACATGATATTGGTTTTAATTTTCCATCTTGGCTGGCAGTGGATGGTTGGAAAATGGACAGTTCCAGAGATTTCCCTTTGGCCTTTCCTAATATTATAGCTCTTATTCTAGACTAGGGACTCTTATGGACTCTACACTAATTCCACTATTCCCTCAAGGACTGGGAAAACAAACACTGACTTGGGTTTCTGGACCCAGTGGGCACACAGTATTTTAGAATTTTTCCAGGATTCTGTTCATTACCTGTTTTCTATAGACTTTAGCAAAAAGGACTGTGATAAAACTATGAGTCTTTAGGTGTCAAAGTCATCTCAGAACATTTGTCTAATAGTTATTGAGAAGTCTGGCTATTTCCCTTTAACTAGGCTACAGTGTCTGAGTAAATGGTCATATGTAACTCCCTTTGGAGAGTTTCCATGTTACATACTTGCCATGGTGTTGCCAGGTTATTCTTCCCAGAGATTGGAACACCTCTTCAATTTGTAGGCTCCAGATATGAAAATGGGCTCAGGTATGGAAACTGAGCAAGGAATTGTGATTTTAGTTGAGACTCATCGTCCTGTTTTGCCATTCTTTTCAGCTTGAACTTTTTCCACATTTGTTAACTGCCTGGGTATTTTTCTTTTAGGGACATCATGGTCTATTAATCATCTTCACAACTTTCTGTAGGCAAAGTCCCCTTGTTTGCTCCCCTGACCTTACTGTCAAACAGTAATTACTGTCTCTTGGCTTCTGAATATTAAGTACTACCTATAACATCTATTACCCTGAGGTCCCTATTCGCCCAAGAATGTTAATGACAGCAGCTCACTGATCTATCTCCTCTTCTACATCTACTTCCCTGGGCCTTAGAGAAGATCTATCAAAGATGGTACTCCTGTCACCACACATGCCTGTAGGATTTGGTGAATTGTGTATTCTTTGGACCCTCTCCTGGATCAGAATTGTTTGGTGGGTCCTGTGTCCTTACATAATATATCCATTCCAGCATTCCCACTTCTCTTAGACTCTTAGTTCCTTTCTCAATCATCTGCCAGGGAAACTCAGGCATTTCTACTTCACTTAGAGTTGGCTATCATTTTTTCCCCAGGCTTCTATGAACCACTCCATTGCAACTTTCCTTCATCTGATGGTGTCCTTGGTAGAGTTTTAAATCTCCTGTCCCAAGAAAATGCTCTACCTTTCCAAGTCAATGAATTCTTGTTTATTCAGTCTTACATTCTGGCACTCTTAATTAAACACACTTCAAATCTAATCCCAGGAGGACTCTTTAGGCTCCTGCTGATAAATGCCAGCTAATTCTTATAATTCCTTATTGTATATAGTCTCTATCCTACCTTATCAGACTGAGCACATCCCCAGCTGAGTTATACTGGGATCTTACTCTGGTTGTCAGCTTAGTGGCCACCAGAGAAGGCGGAAGGACACCTGACGCTTCCTGACAGAGCAGCTCCTGCAGCATATTATAGCAGAGTGAAGTGCTCATTCTTACCAGAGAAGCATGGGTCAATCCTCTGCTAGACCTGAGAATATGAGTGGGTCAGGCATCTCCATTCAGATGTCTCTGAACCATATTTTAGCATTTCAGGTTTTCCATACCAGGCCCTGAACTTTGTATAACATACTTGCCTTAATTGAGCATTCTAATATCTCTGGAGCTTTGTACTCTAACAATCTTCAACCTGGTGCTTGACTGTGTTTGTCCTTCTACTGCAGGTAATAGGGTTCTCTATTGTAGAGGCTCTTGGCTCTAGAACTTAGCCATTAACTGTTTGCTAATAGCCTGAGTCTCTCATTATTTTTCCACAGGGCAGCAATACAATATAGCAGTACCCAGGCAACTCCACTATCTTTGTAAGCATCCCCCCCACCCTGTTAAATTTTTCATTGCCTTCATTCATGTCACCTGCCATGGCACTCTTCTCCATTGGGGCTGATTTCTTCTTTCGTGTTTTTTTTTTTTTTCAAGTCACTACACGTAAAATTGTTAGCAATTACACTGCCACTTTGAACTAGGGATCACCCATGCCTCATTTATCAACCAGAATGACATTCCCTTCACTCTTGGGGTGATGACGAGTCAGTCCCAAATCCAAAACTTACTTCCCGCTTTCTCAGATTACTGTAATTCTGATACCACTTCTATAGTCTAGACCTAATAAGAAGTAGATAATAAGATGGGCTTAGTTAGGCAAGGATTTTCTTAGAGGAGATGCCTCTGTGACAGAAAATGTGAGGGAGCTGGAGAAACCTGGGAGAGGTAAGTCTGACCCTTACTAAAGAAAGTTGTATGGAAGCATCCTAGTCTGCCCCACTATCTTAGAAGTTTCAGCAGAATCATCAGAGTCTTGGAGGCCTTTTAGGATCCCTGTGTGTTCAGGGAGAAGCCAGTGAGTATGGCCTTGGTGAAAAATGTGGTGGTGTCTTCAGAGTGTAGCAGCCAATGCCTTTGGCCAATTAAGCTTCCTAGACCTGGAGGTCTGCAGGGTGCATCCTCATGCTGCCATATTAAGTGAATAAAATATAATACATTAGTTCAAGGGGTAGAGGGGGCTAGGTTACAAACTCAAATAACTACAGGTATGAGTCTATATTATCTAATATACATATATATTATCTAATATAAATGAACAAAGTAGGCAGCCTAGTTACTGGAAAGGAACACTGCTCAAGCTTGAAGATAATTTTGTCTCAGTGTTGGGAAAACAAGGTTTAGTGCTGTGAGGGAATGATTGTTGCATGCAAAAATTGGAGTCAAGCACTTCCAGATCTTCTGGGGTTTTTTGTTTGTTTGTTTGTTTTGTTTTTGGTGTTTTCTTTTTGTGAAGCCAGAAATATAGATATTTATATGATATATGAATTTTACATACGGGAAACTAATTTTTAAAATAGCACAATAGAACACATAAACAACTTGATTTTAGGTTAAAGACTGAGTTTATGCTCCTCCATTTAATTATCTTAACCATTCTTCTCATCTTCCTCTCTGTTCACATACCCCAGCCATCTCATTCTACACTCTCACATGTAAGATGGGATAATGTCATTGCCTACCCTTTCTTCTATGTGCCTCCTAGTACTTGAATTCCTGGCATTGCAAAGACAAAGGCTTAAGATACCCTGTCGAGGCAAATTCTGCTCCCTTGTGCTGTGTCAATGTCGTGGTCACTGCCAAGGATGCCCCCAATCATTCTCTACTTATCCCCATTAATATACTTTTTAGAGTTTCCTACAGCCCTTGCCAATATCCTTCTCAGACCTATTGTCGCCACTGAGTATCTGTTGTCATTTCAATTCGAACTAGTAGACACTTACACACTAAGACACTCTTACCTTTAGACAAAATATGTTCCATATGTATGCACCTGTAACTTGGTAGCTTGCTTCTTGTTTTTCAGATTGATAAACCAAGAAAATAAATATTCCTGGGATTTTTTTCCCTTGCTCTAGAATGTCAGCGTCAAAATTTTTCTAAAATTAGGGTGGGCTGAAAGTTGTTGGCTACAGTAGAATGTGAGTGCCTTTTCCCAATGCATAGTTTTTATCTGAATCTTAAAGGAGTCCTTGACCCAAAAAATATATATACGAAAATTTATGTGCTTTGATTTGTTTTGTTTTCTAATTCAGAATCTCTTCTATAAGAGAAATCTACTTGGTCCCATGCACCCTTAGGACATTTTTCTATGCTGTTTCAGAGCCATAACTTTCTCATCCACCAATAATAGAGATTTATAAAAGTACATTTTTTCTCCTTCACATCTCTTTGCATCCCAATCATTTCTCTCCTCGAATTAGTCAGATTCAATAAATACAATGATATCATTTCACCGTTCTTTGCTTAAGTGTCTGTCTGAGCAAAGAGTGTTTAGAGAGCTTGGGAGTCTGTTCATGGACATTTTTTTCAACCTCTTGCAAGCCCAGTCTAAGCTGCTTGTTTATTCTCAATGCTGAAAACAGTTCAAAATAAGAAATAGGAAATATTATTGTGCATGTGTAGATATGAAAGACTTATTCATCTAATTCCTTATAAAGAGACACCAGGGGAAGATGGCGGCGTAGGAGGACGCTGGGCTCACCGCGCGTCCTGCTGATCACTTAGATTCCACCTACACCTGCCTAAATAACCCAGAAAACCACCAGAAGATTAGCAGAAAGGAGTCGCCGGAGCCAAGCTCAAACGAGAGGCCCACGGAAGAGGGTAGGAAGGGCGGCGAGGCGGTGCGCACTCCACGGACTGGCGGGAGGGAGCCGGGGTGGAGGGGCGGCTCGCCGGCCAAGCAGAGCCCCCGAGTCTGGCTTGCAAAAAGCGGAGGGGCCTGACGGACTGTGTTCCCACAGCAAGCGCGACTTAGCGTCTGGGAGGTCATAAGTTAACAGCTCTGCTCAGAAAGCGGGAAGGCTGGAGGACAAAGGGAAGGAGAGCTGCTGAGCCCCCTGACGACAGAGCTCAGTTTGGTGGGGAACAAAGGCGCTCGCCAGCGCCATCTTCCCCGCCCATCCCCCAGCCAAAATCCCAAAGAGAACGAGTTCCTGCCAGGGAACTTGCTCACTCCGCGCAAACACCCAACTCTGCGCTTCTGCGGAGCCAAACCTCCGGCAGCGGATCTGACTCCCTGCTGCTGCCACAGGGCCCCTCCTGAAGTGGATCACCTAAGGAGAAGCAAGCTAAGCCTGCCCCTCCTGCCCCTGTGCACCTTGCCTACCCACCCCAGCTAAGACGCCAGATCCCCAGCATCACAAGCCTGGCAGTGTGCAAGTAGCCCAGACGGGCCACCCCACCCCACAGTGAATCCCGCCCCTAGGAGAGGGGAAGAGAAGGCACGCACCAGTCTGACTGTGGCCCCAGCGGTGGGCTGGGGGCAGACATCAGGTCTGACCGCAGCCCCGCCCACCAACTCCAGTTATACACCACAGCACAGGGGAAGTGCCCTGCAGGTCCTCACCACGCCAGGGACTATCCAAAATGACCAAGTGGAAGAATTCCCCTCAGAAGAATCTCCAGGAAATAACAACAGCTAATGAGCTGATCAAAAAGGATTTAAATAATATAACATAAAGTGAATTTAGAATAATAGTCATAAAATTAATCGCTGGGCTTGAAACCAGTATAGCTGACAGCAGAGAATCTCTTGCTATAGAGATCAAGGGACTAACGAACAGTCACGAGGAGCTGAAAAACGCTTTAAATGAAATGCATAACAAAATGGAAACCACCACAGCTCGGATTGAAGAGGCAGAGGAGAGAATAGGTGAACTAGAAGATAAAGTTATGGAAAAAGAGGAAGCTGAGAAAAAGAGAGATAAAAAAATCCAGGAGTATGAGGGGAAAATTAGAGAACTAAATGATACACTAAAAAGAAATAATATACGCATAATTGGTATCCCAGAAGAGGAAGAGAGAGGGAAAGGTGCTGAAGGGGTACTTGAAGAAATAATAGCTGAGAACTTCCCTGAACTGGGGAAGGAAAAAGGCATTGAAATCCTTCAGACGTAACTTGAATCGATCTTCTGCACGACATATCATAGTG